GTATTGTTAAAAGCCCTATATAAATAAAGGTGACTTGACTTGACTTGACTTGACTTGGGTTGACGTTGAGTGTGTAATGGGCAGGTGAATGTAATTCTCAGCGACTGTGATCCTCTGGTGGGCGTGCTTCTAATTTGTAGTCTATGTGGGGGAAATTAGTAAGCACACACAGGTAGCACAGCTAGAGAACAGATGGAGAAAATAAGAATAACAAATAGAGCAAGGAACAGAATAATAATTGGCTGCTTCCACTTTTCCTATAAGAGAACGTTTTTTTTTTGTAAAGAAAGATTAGAACTAATGGTAAGATGAGAGTGAAAGACAAAACAAAATACCCTTTTCTGGTAGCAGAATGAGTACAATTAAATTTTCTTATCTTTTTTTGTTGTTGTTGTTAAGTTTGATTTAGAAGGATGCTTCTAGACAGGGGTTTGGAAATGGGGATTTCTAAATACCAGGAGTGTGATTGTTATTAAAATTTCCTCCGGGGTGAAGGAAAAACAATAACAATGACAGTATTGCTTTCTAAGCTGGTAGAATTGACGTCATACATCAATTCGATCGTTTCTAGATGTGTGTTTAAAATTTAGTGGACGCTAATCTTCCTGTTGACCTGCTTTAGCCTTGGCTGGGTAGGATCCCAGGATGAGAAGGGAAGGTAGGGTGAGAGTCAGACAATTTTGAAACGAAGTGTTCAAGTTTCACAAATATTTGTTAAATGTTTCTAAAGTTCTCTGCTTTTATGATTCTCACAGGTACATCCCAAAAACAGCAGCAGTAGTCAAATCAGAAGAAGACAGCTGAGAGAGAGAGAGAAGAAGGAGAAAGAAGTTTTGCTCCCAATGTTAGGAAAAATGACAGGGTGGTGGCGCTGTTGAGTCGATACACCTAGGGGGTTGGTTTTGCTGTGTTGAGGAATTGAGTATTGATTTTCCTTTTGAGGTTTTACTAATTGGATGGGCCAGTGCTCTTATAAACTAGGCTTGGTGGTGAGTTAAATTGGTCCAGTGGAGTCCAGTGGCAGGGCCCACTGCTTGAGCACACCAAGTGAGCTCCTGTAAGGTCACCGGACACTGTCCCCACATACTGCAGTGAGCCTCTCAAACAGCTACGGCTTTTAGCACAACCGGGCAACACTCGGGTGAGGTGCGTCAACGACTAACTGGCCTGAAAAGAGAATGGGGGTAATCCCTGGAGCTATCCGTCAGCGCAGACCCGTAGTCTGACGTACCTCGTCAATAGCCGAACAGGGTGGTATATCCAAACCTTCGGCCAGTTAGCCTTTGTTGACTCCTCCTCCGGCGTGCACGATTGCTGATGCCTCGCTGAGTGCCTTCACTTACAATACTAGGACGGAGGTATCCGGTTTCACCCCCAGCCAGCACCAGGTTACGTCAGAACAGGTGATTTCACTCACTGTGACCCGCTGTGGTGACAACCGTCACTTCACCGACCAAGCACTAGGGGGAGCTCTATCTACTAACAGGCTTAAGCACAGGGAAACCTATGAAAATTTAGCTGAGATAATTAAATAACTGATGGAGAGAGAGAAGAAGGCCTAACAGGTAGAAAAAAAAACTTAATTGCAAATGAAATTAAAATTTCAAATCCGTAATGACAGTTAATGATTACAACTGAATGATGTCATCATTAAAATTGATAAGAGCAATTATAATTAAAGTAATCAACTGTATCATTGAAGTAGGGAAGTCTAAACCCGTATTAACTATAAAAAATTAAATTAAATTAAAATTTCAAATCAGTAATGATATTTAATGATGAAAAACCAATGATGTTGTCACAAATCAGGCCTCTGTGGCTCTCTCCGACCGCCACCGGAGGGCACCCTCTCCTGAGTACTAGCGTCCATGGACTCCATTTCCCATACACCCCGTTCCTGGGACTGATTACTGGCACAGGTGTTTCCCCTTAGCTTCCCCATTTAAGCTGCATCCGGACTCTTAGTTTTCGCAAAGTCTTGTTTTGCCATGGCTAACATCTCTGAGTGTTTATCCCCTGTCTATTTGATCTCTCGTGTATTATCCTGGACTGTTCATCCTAGTGTGATTCTTTGCCGCCTGCCCCGACCCTCGTTCTGTTACTGTTTACTCTTCTGGATTGTCCCTGTTGTTCCTGACGCCATTGATTGATTACTGCCTGTTTGACTCTGCTATTTATTTAATAAAAGCTGCAAATAGATCCGCACACCTCTGACCCCTCATTACAGAAGACTTCGCCAAACACGGATCCAGCAGCTCTTTATCAGCTCACCACCGAGGTTTCTGCCCAAGCCTCCATGTTAGCGTCTCATTAACAACAGCTGCAATGACTCACCTCGCTCACGGAAGAGATGGTGAGGACGCTACAAGCCCTTCGCGTCACCATGCCTGAGCCCAACATTCCTCCATCCGTTCCGTCACAAACTATTCCCAGTCCCAGTCACTCGTCTACCAGCCCACATCTGGCATTTCCCGAGAAATTCGACGGCTCACCAAAAAGATGTAAGGGCTTTCTATTACAATGCTCCATGTTTGTAAATCAACAACCGCAGTTATGCCCCACAGAAGATAGTCGGGTTTCGTTTGTTTGCTCATTGTTGACTGGATGAGCTCTGGACTGGGCCACTGCTGCTTGGGAGGGGAGACGGCTGTCATTTCCATCATTTGACTGCTTTCTGAAACGTTTCTGCGAGGTTTTCGAGCATTCAGCGGTCATCTCTGTCTCTACTGCGGTCTATCCGGCCATCTGAGAGTTTCCTGTCCTACTCGTCCTGCCGCTCGAAGTTCTGCTACGGTGAGTTCTACTCCTTATTCCATTAACTGTCTAGAAGTTCCCATTGCTCTATGTTTAATGGTAAATGTATGGAGACCGTCGCATTGATAGATTCGGGGGCTGCGGGAAATTTCATTGACATAAGGTTTGCCAACACTAATAATCTCCCTCT